CTCGAACCGCGAAGTGAGCCTCACCACCCAAGTACGTCTCTCCCTCATGTGGTGGACAACTCCAGCTCTCCTCAAGGGCTCCGACTTTCTGGAACCAGACAGACTGGTCCTTACCACGGACGCAAGCCTTCGGGGGTGGGGCGTGCACCTTCACAACCTAGTGGCGCAAGGCCAGTGGTCCCGTTGCGAGCAGCTCAACAGCATCAACTTACTGGAGCTGCAGGCGATCAGGCTGGCCCTCCTCAAGTTTCAAGCCACAGTCCAAGCTCAACACTTGCTAATCCTGACGGACAACATCTCAGCCAAGGCGCACGTGAACAGAGAGGGGGGCACAAGATCCTGGCTTCTTATGTTAGAGTCAGAAGCCCTGTTCGAGTGGGTGGAAAGGCACCTTCTGTCAATCAAGGCAGACCACATCTCGGGCGAAACAAACGTCAGAGCAGACTGGCTCAGTCGAGAAACGATAGACCAGGCGGAATGGCAACTCCACCCCAGCCTCTTCCAGGAGCTTGCTCTACGCTTCGGGAGACCGGCAGTGGATCTTTTCGCAACTCCAGACAACACGCAGTTACCCCGCTTCATGTCTCGCTACCCAACTCCTCAAGCGGAGGATCACAACGCCCTTCGTTGCAAATGGCCGGCTGGCCTCCTGTATGCATTTCTGCCGATCCCACTGATCCCGCGGCTCATCAGGAAGCTACTGCTAGAAAAGGCCAACCTACTCCTAGTGGCCCCAAATTGGCCCAGAAGGCCGTGGTACGCCAACCTAGTGGCCCTCTCAGTGGACCAGCCGTGGGTGATCCCACCCCATCGGGTCGTTCTACGCCAGGGAGCAGTCTCCCATCCAGAGCCTCAGTGGCTCCAATTAGCCGTCTGGCATTTGAGAGGGTCATCTTAATGAAAGACAATCTGCCGAACACCGTCGTCAGTACCATCCAGGCGGCTAGACGGCCATCGACCTCTCGCATTTACGAGACATCGTGGAAGGCCTTCTGTCGCTGGGGGTAGATCCATCATGTCGACCCCACGACAGCCACAATACGAGACGTACTGGTGTTCCTACAGGAGGAACTCGATAAGGGACTGGCACCAGCGACCCTGAGACGACAGACAGCGGCCTTGTCTACAGTCATTGTGCACCATACCAGTCCCTGGCGCACCACCCGCTTATCAAGGGGTTTCTACACGGGGCCACGAATCTGCGCCCCCCCCCCCCCCCGGTGCACCGATATCCTTCTTGGGACTTGCCTCTGATTCTACGGGCCTTGACCGCCCCCTCTCTTCAAACCGTTGGACTCAGTCGCCCTCAAATACCTGTCGTTTAAGGTTACCTTTCTCCTAGCAATCACTTAGGCTAGGAGGGTCTCCAAACTAGCGGCACTCTCCGTCTGCAAGGACTTGTGCATCTTCAGAGACTCCACGGTGATACTACGTCTTGACCCGGCGTTCATTCCAAAGGTGAATTCCTGGTTTCACAGGGCTCAGGAACTCATCCTTCCGGACTTCTGCCCCTCGCCTCAAGGGGACAGAGAAAAGCGCTGGCACACTCTCGACGTGCGTCGCGCCCTACGCCACTACATTCACAGGACCTCTTCATTTCGCCGCACGGAGGTGGTCCTGGTGTCATTCAACCCAGCTTCCATGGGCCAGAAGATCTCGGCCTCTACAGTCAGCAGATGGATTAAGGCCTGCATCGCCCTGGCCTACGACCTAAACTCAAGACAGAGGCCGGGCAGAATTTTACCCCACTCTACCCGCAGCACGGCTACCACGGCAGCTTGGGCCACACAGGCGTCAGTAGCAGACATTTGCAGAGCGGCCACCTGGTCATCGTTGTCTCCGTTCATTCAACACTACAGAATTGACGCCTATAATTCAGCGGAGGCGTCTTTTGGTCGCAGAGTACTCCAACGAGTCCTGACGGAGGAGGACACTAGAGGCAGTCAGCCTCCTGCCCGTAGAGTTTAAGCTTGGGTATATCCCATTCATGGATAGTGGGAGCAGCGCACAGGAAAATGGACGTTGTCTTACCTGAACGCTTTTCTGGGCGCTGCTTACACTATCCATACCCTCCCTAGGTTACAGCTGCCTGCCCAGGCGTGTTGCCCATGTTCTACTATGTTGGTTGTTAATAAAGTTATGTTGTTTTCACTCGTCAGAGGTTTGTGGTTTGTTCAACTTCGTTCAGACTGGGATATCATGGGACTGGGGGGCGTGACTAGGAAGCCGGGAAAGAGAAGTTTCTTCTAATTCGCTCTCAGTTGTTTGCCAAAGGCTGAAGAATTTAACCCATTCATGAATAGTGTATGCAGCGCCCAGAAAAGGAACATTCAGGTAAGACAACGTCCATTCTCAAGATATCATCAGTGACTATACTACTATATTAACTGTGAACTTAGGAAGAATTTGAAACATCTATATCACTCATTTGGTCCATATGGTTTTAAAACTGTTAATGTGGTTGTAGTTCTCTTATATATATACAACTGGTAATTCATAGGTTCCCATGTTTTTATGTACCCTGAATGCAGACATTGGTGAGCAAACTATTCTGAGGACATTAAATTCTATATTGAGCTAATATAGTAATCCAATCTCTTGATCCCCAGAGTGAGTCAAAACATATGGCTTGGTACACAATTTTTAAATTAGTGCAAAATTCAAGTTTCTAGGAATACCAGCATAGCTAAATATGGATAAGGATCCTTGTATTCCACAATTGCCTACCACAATTGCCTTCCACAATTGCCTACCAACCTACCAAACATCTGAAAATTTGTACCAGATGTAGGAAGATGGTTGTGTTTCCTTGTTAGATGTAGTGCTCTTTTGCTCAGAAACTAATGCTAATCTTACAATGCCAAATATCAGAATTGGGAGGGGGGGAAAAACAATATTCTCCATCCAAGATAATGACAAGCAACTCATCATTACAAGTAGTCCTTAATTTAATGACCATTCATTTAGTAACTTGAAATTACGATGGTGCTTTTAAAAAATGACTTACAACTGATTCATACACAATTGTTGCAGCTGTCAGGCTTCGAGGTCGTCTCAAATAAATTGCATTTCAAACAAAGTCTTTGAAGGAAAACTCCTGTTTATTAAGCACGACATTCTACACCCGGGTCCATCGAAGCCAACACTGACTTCCAGACCCAAAACCCTCCCTTTCCGTTCCCCACTCTCCTGCACTCATTGGCCATCTTCCAAGTCATTCTACCCCTAATCTACCGCTCCAGCTCAAAGGAATTTCCCCCCTCCCATCCCATCTCCTAGGGGATATTATCTCCAGGGAAAATAAGTAGGTGAAAAATCAAATGTCCCTTTCCAGACGCCTCCGCCTCTCCTTCTTATGTCAGCACTAGAGTAAATGCAGCTTGAAGTGCTGACAGCAGCATCCTGGGATCATGTGATTCACTTATTGAATATAGCAAAAAGGATATAAAATTGGACATAACTTGTTTAATGACCACATTGCTTAGCGATGAAAGTTCCAGTCCCAATCACGGTGCTAAGTCGAGGACTACCTGTTGTTTTCCATGCTGAAGCTAGCTGAATTGCAAAGCGTTAAATAAGCAGACTTTACTTCGAGGATCTTGCTGCAGAAACAGTGTCAGGTTCTGATGGCCTTCATTACCATGGCTTGGCTCTTCCATAGATCTCCCATAGAAAATCAATTATTCAGTAAAAAGGTTGATAGGATATTGGATCATGTTCAAAACTTTTATTACACTGTCAGCCTGTGAATATTCATCAAGACTCAAAGGAATCCAATCAATATCAGCGTTTCTATCCTTCACATTACAGGCTCTGCCTATTTCTTTTTCATTTTGTCATCAATAACATCAGACAGTCTTAGGTATATAAGCAGAAGCTCTGACCCTATGAATCAGCACTCAGTCCATGCTAAAATTAATAGTGCCTTTTTATTTGTCAAGCCAATTATAGCAACAGTTGTAGCCATAGCCAAAACCATAGATTACTAGGTTTTTTCCACACTTTTTCATAGTTTTTTAAAAAAAATAAAGTTTCATTCTATGCCTTAGAGCTACTACCTCTGAATCCAACATCTGAGACATTACAGCTAAAAGCAACAGCTTTACAACTCAAGTTAGCTAAATTGATCCACAACGTGCATTGCCTGCTTTTGTATTTTGGGGGGTTTTCGTTTTGCTTCTAATTAGGTGTTTCATTTGGTTTTAAGGAGTTATTCTGTTTTTGCTGTTTTCCTGTATTTTGTTTATTAGTTGTGTTATTGAATTGTTTTAAACTATGAGTTGCCCAAAGTCACAAATGTTAATGGGCATTTATAGAAATTGAATGAATCATGAATGAATAAATGAATGAATTCAACAACAATTTCAACTGGGAAACTTGACATTTAGATCCAGTCAAATCCAAAAATGTTAGGAATTCTTGGGAGTTTGGCATTCTGATAAATCAACTATCAACAGACACATAAAGCTAAATATCATGTATGCATCATTTAAATGATAAAACCAAAAGTTAAAAAAAAAGTCCATTGTCTTTAGCAACCAGTACCCAATTGAACAAAAAATAGCCAAATAAACAATAAAAGGAGAAACAATGCTCTACTCAAGGAAATTTCAAGGAAGAATCTATACTCCAACCATGGCTGGCAGGGTAAGCCACTACATGTAAACCATCAGCAAACTTTATTTTTCTATGAACTGGTGGTGTTATTTAGCTAGTAATGAAAGGCTGCATGAAAACAGTCAAACTCAGAAACACCACAAACAACAGTTCAACACAGCTGTACATCAATATTCTCTACTTTTGTCATATTATATTTTGTAGAGGTTAGTAAATTCTGTTTCTCTAATATTGCTTGGTATTAGAAAAAGAATTGTCTATGTAGCAAAATAATAGAGATTTGGGAGCAATGGGTGACAAATGAAACTTAAAAAAAAAGAATAGAGACTGAATGGAGTGTAGGAGACGCAATGATTAAAAATAATTGTTTATTTGTATCTCACCTTGCAATGATAGTTGCTAGCGGCATATCTTGTCTATAGACTCCTAAAGGTCTAGGCTGATTGGCAATCTGGTTGGAAACCCTTCTTTTTGATAGAGGCATATGACTTGGCGGTGGTGAACAATATGCCTCTTTAGGTATCAAATTCATCGAGAAATTGTCAAAGTAGGAAACCTTATAACCTGAAGAGAAGGGGAGAATTGTCTGCAATTTAAAATGTATTGGTGGTTTGGTAGGGTTTCCCTTCCTTCTTACTGGCCTTGAAACTATGCCTTTGTTGGTCATGTCTCAAACAGCTGGGTCACCATTTGGCTGGATACTGTAACATGTTCTAAATGGGGCTGCCCTTGGAAGCAATCCAAAAGCTACAGCTGGCACAACCCAGGAAGTTTAGCTGACTAAAGTGCTGGCAGATCAACCCCACCAACACAGGATAACTTCTATTTTGAAATTGCTGTATTGCTTACCAGTCAGCTTCCAAGTTCAATTCAAAGCACTAATCTCTTTTAAGTCTTACACAACTCCAGTTACATCAGGCTCAGTATTTACACACCCAATTTATTCATTACAGAATGTCCTGTTGACAATCCCTCTACTTTGGAGGTACATCAGGTGTGAACAAGAGAGCAAGTCCTTCCAACAATAGCCCCTTTATTTATGGAATTACCATTCTCTAGAACGGGGGTGGGCAAATGTGGCTCTTGTACAACCTGTGGACTTCAACTCCCAGAATTCCTGAGACAGCTGGCTTAGGAATTCTGGGAGTTGAAGTCCACAGGTTGTAAAAGAGCCACATTTGCCCACCCCTGCTCTAGAAGTACAGCACCTACATTTCTAGTCTTTTGAAAATAAGTTGATTTTTTAAAAAATTGTGCCATTGTGCCTGTGGCTCAAACTGAAAATGTGTGTCTTGATTCTTTAAAAGAAACAGGATTTTTATTGTATTGAATGTTTAATTGGCTGATAAGGTATTGACTGCTCAGAGTAGGTGGCAGAAATGAAGGGAGGAAGGAATGTGCCCTTACATTTAATTGTATGATAGCTTTTTATTATACTAAATAGTATTATACTACTAAGGATGACTGGAGAAACAGATCCATATTTTAACCTGCAATTAACAAACTTAAATTTATAATTTATAAATAACATTCAAAACCAGGAAAGGATTGTTATAATGTGGAGTTTTGATTCTTCAATAAAAAAATAAATAACTCAATGTCTTTTGCTGTTGGTTTTCCCATTTCCTTTTTCAGTTTAATTTGAAATATTTTCTTTCTTATTCTGCTATTAAATCTTTTTTTTTAAAAAAAAAATCTCTTAATGATCTTTTCTTCCAAAGCACTGAATTGGATTTTCCAGTTGGGCACTATTAAAAGCTCTCCTTGCCAGAGAAGATTAATTTTATTGAAATATAATCCTTTCTTTATCCCACTTCAGACATTATTTTTCTTCTGCACATTAGCTTTTTAAAAGTAGGTACAACTTTTCAGACTGCAGTTATTAAGAAGTTAGGAGTTAAATAAACTCAATGCGGTCACTGTTAGAATCTAGGTCAGCCAAATAAAAACTACAACAATGCAATTTTGAAATAGTATTGTTTTGCTTTAAGCCAATTACAGAAGATATGAATTCCATACTAACAACTACATCTCCTTTATCCCCAAATTAATGCAATAGTACCAAACTTCACATTCCATTATCTCACACCTCTATGAATGCCCAATTAGGCTATACAATGTACTTTACATGGTGCTGCCTTTGGAGATGATCCAGAAGCTAAGCTACAAGTCACATCATAACCAACATCAACAAAAAGCAAAAGTTACCACAACTCAAGATAGGCATCTCACAACCAGTCAAGCGAGGTCCAGAGCAGAATTTTGAATTGCTTCTGAAACTTCAACACACAAGGAGTACACATATTTCTGGAGATGCCAGTGTAGAATTGTGCCTCTATTAAAACTGTTGCATTGGAACATAGTAGGCTTCTGAACCCAACTGAAAATCCTGCTGTATCTTTAAAGTCCTAAGTAGTGCAGTATTGGGAGGATATATCAGGCAACACTTACACCAGAGCTAAAACCACTCATCTAGTCCAGTCATCTGGATAAATCCTTTTGAAACTCTCCCCACTGCTTCACATTCAAGGCACATGGGAATATGTGGGAGAGACAGTGCCCTTATGGTAGTTTCCATTCCACTGAATTACATTTCCATCCTATCCCTCCAATATATAAATAGCAATAGCACTTAGACTTATATACCACTTCACAGTGCTTTACAGCCCTCTCTAAGCGGTTTACAGAGTCAGCATATTGCCCTCAACATCTGAGTCCTCATTTTACCCACCTCGGAAAGATGGAAGGCTGAGTCAACCTTGAACTGAGGCTGAGCTACCACTTTGCAGATATGGATATATATGTGATAACAACTTACACTTTTGTTGATCTTCACATGCACATTGAAGCAATATATCTCTCAGTGGATCAGGCAAATTGTTGTAAAGCATAGAGAGCTTTAGGAATACTTCATTTATCTCATCCATTTTATCACAGCGTTTCAGCTTCTGAGACTTGACCAGTGATGGTAAGTTCAGACTAGATTTTGTCACAGGCCTGATCCTTGAAAGCAAGCTTCCTTTCTTTACTGTTTGCTGATTTGTGGCTGGTCGTGGGAAGTGAAGACATGATCTTTTCCCAAAAAACATTCTGAAAAGTACTGATTTTTTTTTTTTTTAGTTTTTTAAGGAAAGGAGTTGTTATCAATACAGAACACAATGGCCTTGACTTTCTCTACCTATCGAACTCTGTATATTGGTGGTGAAAAGCCATTTTCTCTGCCCCTACCGCTATGTAATCCAAGTGTCATAACAGCAATGTGATGTCACAGGCAATAATGAGAGACAGAAACTATACGATCAAAATATATTTAATGGCACTGCTGACTTGGCATGATGAACTGGATTTCCAAGAATTAGCATGATGTTTCAATGAGTAAGTTAGATCAAATGAATAAGCCTATTAATTCAGAGAGGATAAGCTTTACTCCCAAACCTCCATCCTGTTTGAAGTTAAATTAACTTCCTCCAGTGAGTCATATCATCCAAATAAAAACCTTTCCTTCCCATGATCATAGAGAAATTTTACAATGTCTCCATAAAAATAGGGCCTCGTTTGGAATTCTGTCTGTGTAGCTACCTCAGTTTTCAGTTGACACATGCATACATACATAGCCACGCTGGAAGGAGATTAAATAAGGGCAATAGAAAAGTGGATATGATCCTTTGAACCTGTCCACAGTGATGCAAGCCCTGATCATATCACTGATTTTTTCCCCCTAAAGTAACAAAAATAAAAACATGGGGTAATAAGAAGGGAGGTGAAGTGAAAACCTAGAAACCAAGTCTTACAAAAGGCAGGTAAATGACAACGTCCTTGGGAATGTGCTTGCCTATACCTCATTTTCTGCTTTTCCCCAAAGTCATGGCTCTGATTAAAAAAAGGCTTTATTAAGTAGATGAATAATTCTTGGAAGAAGCTTTTATGCAGTTTGACGACACTGAAATGTTTTTCTAGCTTGTTTTCCAGAAAATCAATTTATGCCGGTACTTTTAAAGTATTTTAGTACTCTTCCCCTTGCAAAAAGACTTTTAATTATGGGTTCAAATGCATAATTTCTCAACCACGGCAATAGGTACCAAGGGTGCTCACAAAAGATGTGAGCAGGGGTGAAATGCTCCCAGTTTGGACCGGATCGCCCGATCCGGTAGCGATGGAGGAAGGGGGTTCGGAGAACCGGTAGCAAAAATCCCTCCCGCCCCCATGCCCAGCTGAGTCGCACAATCATCAGAGACTTTTTTTTTACTTTTAAAAGGATTTTTTCTACAACCTCTTCGGCCGAAAAAATGCTTTTAAAAGTAAAAAAAAAAGGCTCTGATGATTGGGCGGCTCAGCTGGGATCATCAAAGGCTTTTAAAAGAAAAAACCCTTCTTACTGCAGCAAGTTTCCAATTTTGTGTGCTAAGGTAGATTTGCATCTTGATCATGTGGTTAGGAGGAATGAAGGAGAGGGGGCCGATTCCTCACTCCAATTGCTAGCAAATGTCCCCCTCCCCCTTTCCATTTGGTGCTTATTTTGGCAAAATTGAAGAGCACGTAAAAGTTGTTGAAAGAAAAATAAATATGGCCATGATCAACATCCAGGATCTGTAGAGTTCTTAGATGGGAGTCCATGCAGAAATTTTGTGTTCTTGTTGTTAGATGACATAATTCCCATGAGGGGATTTTATTTCTTTTTGACTGAAAGAAACTTACTGGCAGGCCTGAAGATATAATGCAAAAGATGGCTTCCAGAACTTTACTGCTGTGGGAAACTGGGAGGGGGGATTGTATGGACCAAGGACATCTTGCCCTGCACCTGGAGGGATGTGGCTGGGAGGCATCTCCAGTTGGGACGGTGCTTTGATTGGACCATGTAATGAACTTGTGGGTGATGGGCAGGGACTTGGACTTTCCTTTGGGTGGGGAAAACCTGGAAACTTTCGATTCAGGTTTTCCCAGATGTGCCAATATTTATTTATTTATTTATTTATTTATGTAATTTATATGCCGCCCTTCTCCCGAAGGACTCAGGACGGCTTACAAAGAAAACATTCAACAATTCAAAAATTACATAAAAAATTAAAATCAAATTAAAATTTATTAAAATTATTTCAATGTAAAAATCCCCCAATGGATCATTTGATTAAAATGATTTGATAAAAAAGCCACGTCTTCAGTTCGCGGCGGAAGGAGAGGAGGTCGGGGGCTGCCTAAGCCCGGTGGGCAAACTGTTCCAGAGGGTCGGCGCTCCCACAGAGAACGCTCTCCCCTGGGGGCCGCCAGCCGACATTGTGTGGCTGACAGCATCCTGAGGAGGCCCGCTCTGTGGGAATGCACGGGACGATAGGAGGATGGCAGGAGATGATCCTGCAAGTACCCCGGGCCTAACCATATAGGGCTTTATAGGTGAGCACCAGCACCTTGAAACGGACCCGAAGGACCACCGGCAGCCAGTGCAGCTCGCGCAGGAGAGGTGTCACACGGGAGTAACGAGAAGCCCCCATAACAACCCCCACATTCTGGACTAGCTGTAGCCTCCGGGTTCATCCCAAGGGCAGCCCCATGTAGAGGCATTACAGTAGTCCAACCGAGAAGTAACAAGGGCGTGAGTGACCGTGGCGAGGGCATCCCGGTCTAGGAAAGGGCGCAACTGGCGCACCAGGCGTACTTGTGCGAAGGCCTCCCTGGTCACGGCCGTCAGATGATCTTCTAAAGAAAGCCGTGAATCCAGGAGGACACCCAGATTGCGAACCCTTTCTGAGGGAGTTAGTACCTCCCCTCCTATCACAAGTGACGGGACCACTAGTTCACGAGATGCCGGTATCCACAGCCACTCAGTCTTGGATGGGTTGAGTCTGAGTCTGTTTCTTCCCATCCAGGCCCACACCGCTTCCAGGCAGCGGGACAACACGGAAAGGGCATCCCCAGGGTGGTCCGGGGTGGAGATATAAAGCTGAGTATCATCAGCATATTGATGGTACTTCACCCCAAAACCACGAATGATCTCACCCAGCGGCTTCATATAGATGTTAAAGAGCAGGGGGGAGAGAACCGACCCCTGAGGCACCCCACATGTGAGGGGCCTCGGGGAGGATCTCTGTCCCCCTGTCCATACAAACTGCGAGCGGCCCGAGAGGTAGGAGAACCACCGTAAAACGGTGCCTCCTACCGCCAACCCCCCGAGTCGCTGCAGTAGGATACCATGGTCGATGGTATCAAAAGCTGCTGAGAGGTCAAGAAGGACCAGGATGGAGGAGCAACCCCCATCCCGGGCCCGCCAGAGATCATTCACTAGAGCGACCAATGCCGTTTCCGTGCTGTAACCGCGTCTGAAACCCGATTGGTATGGGTTCAGGTAGTCCGTTTCCTCCAGGAACTGAGGGAGCTGCTGTGCCACCACGGACTCCACAACTTTCGCTATAAAGCGAAGGTTGGAGACTGGATGATAGTTGTTCAGGGAGTCTGGATCCAGGGTGGGCTTCTTAAGGAGGGGTCGAACCACCGCCTCTTTAAGTGTGACGGGGAAGACCCCTTCCTTCAAAGAAGCATTGATGACCGCTTGGATCCAGCCTCCAGTCACCTCTCTGGCTGCAGAAACAAGCCAGGAGGGACATGGGTCCAATAAACACGTGGAGGCACCCAGCCGACCCACGATCCTGTCCACTTCATCCACCGAAACAAGCTCAAACTCAACCCAGGTGTCACCTTCAAGACAAACCCTTGTCTCCTCGATGGACTCTGCCCAGTCAGAGTCCAACCCAGTCCGGATCTGAGCGATTTTATCTTACAGAAACTGTACAAAATCCTCAGCTCTGCCCTGCAAGGGGTCCTCCCTCGTTCCATGATTGAGAAGAGAGCGGGTCACTCTAAACAGGGCTGCTGAGCGGTTTTCTGCAGATGCAATGAGCGGCGAAATAATGACGTTTTACCGCTTCCATCACCACAAGATAAGACCTAATATGGGTTCTTAATTGTGTTCGGTCAGATTCAGAGCGTGAGGCTCTCCAACCGCCCTCCAGGCGTCTTTTCCGACGCTTCATTTCCCTGAGCTCCATGGTAAACCATGGGGATCTGTGGTGGGCCAGAGGCCGCAAAGGCGCAATTCAACGCAAGGCCCCCACCGCAGCCTGTTCCCAGGCCGCCACCAGGGCCTTGGACGAATCGTGGGTTAAGGAGGCGGGAAATGACCCAAGCTCCATCAGGAACCTTTCAGGGTCCATCAGATGCCTGGGGCGGAACCATCTCACTGGTTCCGCTTCCCAGCGGCGGGTTCTAGCGGAGGGAAAGTCCAGCCTAAGGAGGGAATGATCGGTCCATGACAGGGGGTAGATGGATAGATCCCCCCTACCCCGATCATTTATCCACTGTCCAGAGAGAAAAATCAGATCAAGTGTGTGTCCTCCTTTGTGAGTTGGGCCCTGTACAACCTGAGTTAGGTCCATGGCCGTCATGGAGGTCATGAACTCCCGGACTAGCTCAGATGTCTGCCCGACCGATGGCAAGATGAAGTCTCCTACAACCAAAAGGCTGGGGAGTTCAACTGCCAACTCGGCCAAGACATCTAGTAGTGTGGGCAGGGCTGAGGCTACGCAGCTGGGAGATAGGTACGTAACCAACAGACCCGTCTGAACTCCAGGGTCCCACTTCAAAAGGAGTGATTCACATCCACCTATCTAAGGAACAGTGACCTCCCTAGGACTAAGACTTTCTCTAATGACTACCACCACACCCCCACCCCTACCCTGGAGTCGCGGTTGGTGCAGCACACGAAAGCCTGGGGGACATAAGTCGGATAGAGGGATACCTCCCTCCGGCCCTAACCAGGTCTCCGTGATGCAGGCCAGGTCCACGTCCTCTTTGTCAATTAAATCTTGCACGAGGAGGGCCTTGTTCATCACGGACCTGGCATTTAGGTACACCAGCCAGAGTCCAGGGCTCCGCACTCCTATACCCGCAGGGGAGCAGGGGGACACTGGGGGGGAGGAGTGCACCACCGTTTGGACACAATGGCAGCGATCTCTATATGACATCTCTAATGAAATGGAACTTTGAGGAACTTCAAGCCTCAGAGTCTTATTTCGTTGGGGTGTTACTTGGAACTCTGACATTTAAGGAGTTATTTGAGTTTCTTGTTAGTGAAATAGAGCCACAGCTTTCTCTCAAAATTAGCATGTATTATTTTCCCAATAATGCAACGATAGGTGTTTTACAGCATTAAATATTACTATCTAAATATTACCATGTAGTTAAAATTGAGTATAATCGATAAACATACAGTAATAACAGCATAGTTTTCAAGTCACAAAAACTTCTAATTTCACTTTATTTTGCTTTGCTCAGACTGCATCCACATTTTGTAGTTTGAGTCATAATATCCTGGTGATTGGTGACGTATTAATACTGTAAATTGGCATTGTTTCTCCAATGCAAGCTCCCCAGAGTTGCTCAACAGTAAGACGGATAGCATATAAATTTAATACATACATACATACATTCATACATAAGTAAGTAAATAAGTAAGTAAATAAATAAGAACTCTGTTGAGTTTTCCCAGAGGAGCCTCTCCTTCTTCTGATTTTGGTTTTTGTCTTTAAGTTTGTTTTTAATTCCCCAGAGGCTGGTAGATGGACTAATTAGTTGTAATGATGACACCCAAGTGAAGGCATAATGACTCCCCTTTAGTTTTTCCCTAACTCAGGGGTGTCAAACTCACGTCGTCACAGTGGTATCACATGACATATCGGGACTTTTTCCCCCTTCCCTAAACTGGGAATGGCCAACGCGTGACGCATCTGGCCCATGGGCCAGGAGTTTGACAGCCCTACCCTAACTGATAAATAAAAGTCTGAGAGCAGTTGTTTTTTCCAATTCTCTTTGAAGGCCTATTTCTAACACATCACATTTGTTTGAAATAAAAGGAACATTTATTTTACCTACAAATCCTTTTTGTGTAAAGTGTTCTTTTATCATTGGTTGTTTAAATGACTTTGGTAAAGGGAGAATGTCCAGGCTAGTGACATTTTTTTAAAAAAATTCCCATATTCAAGTCCGCAAAAAGTCCTTTCTTTATCTGTGTCTTTGCCTTTACATTTGTCTCATCCATAACAATATATGTTAAATTTAAGAGGAAAAAAAACCCATTAAAAATTGCTAAAAACTATACAATTAAATGGGCAGGAGTGACCAAGAAAATGTCGCTATATAGGAGAGGCAGGTGAAATAGCCACTGCAACCATCTTAAGTGTGAAGTGGTTGCCAAGCAGCAGAATTATGATCACATGACTGTGGGAGTGCTGCAACATTTGGAATTTTGAGGATCCGTCATAAATGTCACTCATTCAGCGCTACTATAACTTTAAACAGTTACTACCTGTATGCAAGTTCTTGCATGAATTCGGCAGCACATCTACATTATTTTCACAGGAAGGCAATCAAAATAATTTCTACACCTGGAAAAAATGATTGAGCAGGGTTCCTTTTAGTTAATTTTAAGTGGACAGAAAAACAGGAAGTGATAATAGATATGGCTTCCAATAGAAATTAGATTATCCCATTCCTCACTGATATCCCTGAGATAGAAAAATTAACATTATATGCAAGCTACTGACATATCCTGATACTGAACTACTTACCTATTAGAATATAGAATAAATACATAAACTGAAAAGTAAGCTTTATCAGAGACAATATTAAAAAATAAAAAATTAAACTATTAAAGAAAATTTCTCTTTCACACCAATTCACAGCTCTGTGTTACAGCTTATCAGTTGCAGTGGCAAAGACATCATTTTGGCTTTTCATTGTCTGGTTCAGCCTTCACATCAAGCTTTATACATTTCTGTCCAAAATTTTCCACTTGCCCTATATAAGAAGGAAAAGATATTATTAACAGTATTTGATATCACTGAGCAGATTGTTCCTAAACATCTTTTTGTATTATCACAAATAATTTTGCATTACAACATCTACATCTATGCAGTAGCACAAAACATCTAGGATACAATACTTAAAACGTGTTTCCAATTCTGACCTACTATAACAAAAGTTAGAATTTCAAAAAAGTCACCTATGCTAAATCGCAGATTCATAAAATATTCCGCAAACTCTTCATTTTGGTTTAAAAAACAAGAGGTTGGGAGGAGAGGAGGGGAAAAAAAGTCGCATGGCTTCAGGAAGAATAGCATGAGCTAATCTGTTCAAGCAAGGAAACGTTGTCCTCTCTCCCCACCAAAGATTATGGCACAGATTTTAACTAGAGTACAGTCTTCCCCGCCAAATGCAAACAGGCTCCCCCGAGCTGAAGGCGCCTATAAAGACCTCGCAATGGATTATATCTCTCCACCGCACAATCCCCACACCGCGTCAGGGACCACCACTCCACTTGCCTTCATTATGACCCAACTAACCAGGCGAAGGGAGCATTTCACATCACCAGGGCAGAACTGCCTGGGCCCGAGAGTCTACCTTTTCCCGTTGCTCTTTCCTCCCGAGAGGCCAACTGGATGCGCCCCATCAGGATTAGGAAGGGAGCGAGCGGCCAGAAAGGACCCGAGTGGGCGCGGGGAAAAGCGACGCCAGGGGAAAGAAAAGAGACCGACGCCTCACCCTTGACAAACCCCGAGGGTCCTGGCAAGGCTACGGCGGGGACTGGGTTATTCCCATGGCGAGTAGCGGCCCGCCACGCACCCTGAAGGCCGAGGCGGAGGCGCAAGGCGCTAAACCCAAATTCCGCTCCGCCGCGTCCTGCCCCAGCATGTACCCAGCGAGTGGACGCTCTGCTTCTCCTCCTAAGAAAGAAACGCAGCGAAGTTTCACAAACTTCCCAGGGTAGGGAACGCAGGCGGAAGGCCGGGTGGGAATCCCCGACACCCCCCACCCCAAAAAAATCGCCCTTCGAGCGATCCGCACTCCCCAAAGAGAGGTGCTCCTGCCTGCCTCATGGCCAAGTCGGGCCGCCCTTGGCTTGGCGCTCGCCTCTCCCTAGGTCTCTAGATTTATTTATTTTTTACATTTTCACATTTAATGTTTTTCTATACATCACATGATATTATTAGGTAGTATTATATTAGTGATATAGTAGTATGATATTTAAACCTGAGTTATTGTGTTTTTATTATTTAGGGAGTTTTTTTTCTGTCGAATCTGGGTTTGTTTGAGTGTCAAAGCTGATTAAATAGGTAAATTAATAAAAACCCAGGTAACAAAAAAAAAATGTTTTTTTTTTTTGTTATCTTGAGTTTTTTTGTTCCGTGTCTGGGTTTATTTGAGCATGATTAAATAGGTAAAAATAAGTTAGTTTAAACTGTATGGTGATTTTTTAATTATCTTTTGTGTGTATCGGTGTAGAATCTAGGTTTATCTGAGCATGAAATCTTGGGGTTTTTTAAGGAAACCCTGCTAGCAACTCTGGCTTGGAAGAGGGCAACCTGTGGGAATTGACAATGCTCTGGCTTGAAAGGAGAGTTCAGCTACTGCTTTGACACAACTGACATTTCATTGTCATTGTGGGTCTAAGGACCACTTGCTTCAAACATTGCACAGTCAACCACAGGTGTAAGGAGGAACAGGTTTAATCTCAGCTCCTCACACTATACTGCCCACTTTCAGGTTTTTACATGTGGCATGCATGTAAAATATTTAAAATGCAGGTATACAGTCAAACATAAATGAGAATGTAAAAAGTATTTTGGTGAGAAAGTATATTTAATCCTAATCTACTGCTATTTCATAATTTGTGTTTTAAAAATAGTCACAGAAATATTATAAAATTAAAAATTTACCTTTCCACCTGATAGGTAACCTAATGCTTTCTGCATACTTAGAAGTATAGCTAGTCTCATTTCCAACAAGCATACAAATATTAAAGGATTATAATCCCAAACATCTGGGGCTGCTGGTTTATTATCCTGGTATTTATCATGCCATATTGTCCTTTCTTTTCTAGCTCTGCCTCTTCCGGCCAGTATGACCACTGCAGTCTAATTTTCTGAATTAATTCATTCCTAAATACAGTAATCTTTTTCTCACCCTTTCAGGCAGCCAAGAAAATCAAGTAGGATTTGTACTTTTATCACATCTAATTTACTGTCTACCATACATACAATATCTTGTTCTTTATTCCCAATTCATTCCTAAGAAAATATACTATCTATTTTCAGTAGTTTCGGGAGAAGGCCTATCTTTGCAGAAGTCATTTTGTTGCAGGGTTACAATTTTCCTGATCCTTTAATACACTTTCAATCAAGTGTTCATTGAATTCTTACTATAATGTCCAATGTGACTATTTGTATTATATGGAAAACAGTTATCAAATGTTCTATTTTGGACAGCATGTATCCTCCCATTATTTTGGAATCATTTTTAAGATTATGATTTGTTTGCTTCATTTAAGTTTCTTACAGCGTCACACCGCCTAAATACACTATTGCCTTTAAGAACAAACACTTAGAGCTATGCTTCTTTTTCTTTCCAAAATAACTTCCAGACTGATAATCCTTTAGAAATGCCCTTTTACTTCTTGAAACTGACTTTCTCCTATGCCGTGCTGAAACCCAGTTTTGTGTACTTCCTGAAGAAATGTGATTTATGTTTCAGAGGGCTAAAGTAAGGAATATTTTGTTTTAGGGGGAAAAACCCAAAACTTTTCTGTCCTCTGATCTTACTTTAACAACTGCTCTTACTGTTGGTTTGCAGCCTGTCATTCCTGACCATAATTTCTCTACATCCTCTCACTACTCCGGAGGGCTTTTTAAATTTAACTTTGCATGCAAAACCTGGTAAAATATAATTTGGCACTGTCCTATATTAACAAATCTATTATTATTTTCATTACTTGTTCATCCTGATGTGCATATTTTTGTGTCTCTCATAATTCTCATATACATACAGGCTGGGTGAAAAAAGCCAGGTTGACAAATTTTCCAATTTGAAGGAAAAAAAAGAAGCCATTCCTGGTATTTATGGGACAACTCTGCCAATCAGCAACTTCTCTCATCAGGTACATCAATCTCTTATTAAATGAATCTATTCTTGTATGCAGAACCCATTCTATACCATATCTGCTGTTTAATAATAAATGGATGGTTTGTCATATTGTTAGGAAATGGTTATTTGTCTAACTAGTTGGTCAGGTAATATATAAACCAACAATGTATGTTTGCAGTCAGAAAGGTATTATATTGCTTAAGACTGTATTGCATCATCCTGTATCCTGATTGGCTAAGCTCTGTAGCCAATGTATTTAAGGGAAGTCAGGATCATGGCTTGTGTGGATACTACACCATTTTACTTGCTTATTTGCTGTAACTCTCTACCTGATCTCTGCATGATCACTGTTTGATCATAGCTACATGTTGTTTTCTACTATTTATTGAATGTTTTGATATTGAACTTGTTCTTCTTTTGAAACTCAAGAAGAACTGTTTTATTGTGTATGACTACAACTGGTAAGAAGACTTTGTACTTGAAATATCCCTGGATTGATCTTTTAACTCTCGTTTTATCTGTGTATGACTTGGATTGTTTTTGGACTTTGCTTTACTTTTTTCTAAAAGTAAAAGACTACAACAACTCAGTGTGTTTGTATGTTAACTGTGATTGTTCACAACCACTCCCAGTCGCTTTTCATGCGTTTACTCAAAGGGTACTCTGCTCAATAACCCACAACATCGGTTATGAGCCAAGAATATCCTTAACGCATATAATCATAGCTATAGAAAGATGTTTCAGAGCACATGGGAGCAGGAACATATCACCTGATATCTGCAAGCCCTCAAAGCAATTGTACCTTTTCTTTGGACCATGCATCTACCCACCAGAACTGCCATATGATTTCCAGGAAAAGATGTGGCTGCTTTAAATACTTGCAGGCAAATGCTACACCTGTACTGCTAAATCTGCTGGAGCATCTTTCCTAAAGCTGAATTCAAAGTGCTGTATGGTCTTATAAATGTACTTCATTATCATTTTTGAAGAAGCAAAATATACTCACATCTCAAGTCAGAACATTAGGCAAAGAAAGACCAGTCAAATATTGAATAAACAATGAAGCCTGCTATTTTGATACATACTAATTCAGGGGTCCCCAACCCCTGGGCAGCGGCCCACTACTGGGCCGTGGCTTATTCACAACCAGACCGCACAAGGGGTGAGCACAAGTTGAACTAACTTGTGTAAGTCAAACTATGCACTACCACTCACCCAGGCCAGTTCCCCTCTCACCCTCTCTGGCGGGCCATCAAGCTGCAAAAGGTGGGGACCACTGTATTAATATCAATCACAATTGAACAAAAGTAGTCACAACTGAATACTTTTCTGTAGTGCAGTCACTGTAATACTATGCTGAATACAACCAAGTACATTGGTTAAATTTTGAAGGTTTGGGCATTGTTTTTAAAGAAAACTTTTTTTTTCAGAGGTACATGTGTCATATGTTGACTATTTTATAGCAAAAGAAGTTATAAATAAGAAAAATAAATGAAAATTAAAAAAATATTTTGTAAGAGTAAATCAAATTCCTAAGAATGTCAAATTCATTTATATGCTGTATTTCATGTGACTTTTGATTATGTGCACCTGTATTACCACATACTTGATCTCTCCCATTTAGAGAATCACCTATATGTAATTAGACTGGGAAATCAAAAAATAAAGAAAATCCAGAATAGGGCCATAGTAAACCATTTCCATATTCTTGCCCCATCCAAAGGACTTGTCTGCATATTGAGTCGAACTCAATTTGAGGGAAACTAAGATGATATAATTAGGTAGGGTTAGCTCCACATTCTAAAATAATGTAGTTATTTTACTTTCCTAAAATGCGGTCTCAAATTGATTGTTTAATGCTTTTCAGACTGCATCATAGCTAGTGTAGCAATGTTTAATTTATAAGAATAACAAACTCAAGGATAACTGGATGGCATACGGTAATAAAATTATTACCAAAATAATACAAGTAAAAATGTATGGTTCATTTATATGCAGTTAGCAAAACTAAACATGAGTTTAATTACAGGAATCGTATGTCTATAGTCTGGAAACTGACTGTTCTGCTGAAAAGAAATTTCATTCACCAGAAGGTAAGCTTGCCACAGGAAGCACAGATATTCTTTATGTTAAGAAATTAAAAAACAATTTATATAAATAAAGGTAACTTTTGCTCTTTTGCAGGTACTCCTACAAGCACATTTTACAAGGTAAGGGCAAAAATTATTAAACTCCTTTAATAATGTTATAGCAACCTATGCTAAACTGACATCATTTTTATTTCAAAGGAAGTATTGCATACATTATTCAGGTATGAGTTGACTTCCGTAGTCTAAACCATTTAAATCTTGA